GGAGCGGGGGGGTGAGCCCCGAGGGGCAGCGGGAGGGCACGGGCAGCGCTCCAGGGCACTTCCTGCGCTCCGTAACAGCGGTGTCTGTTTGCGGGCCGCTTCTCTGGCGTTGGCTTTGTGCACGTTTGGCCCAGTAACCTACAAGCAGTTAGTTCTGACGTGCGCTGATGTGGAGAGAAGCGGAGGCGTGTCGTACCCTGTCACACGCGTCAGCAGAGCGCTGCCAGGGCTGCCCTGTGCTCCCTCCCTGGGGGCTGCTCCCTCCCTGGGGGCTGCCCGCGCAGGAGCTCCTCTGGAGAAAGTCACTTGAATTAATGAGAATAAGCAGCCTACCACTAAACCTCGTTTTATTCGGGAAAAGCGTTTGGGAAGCTTCCAGAAGTTGCAACAACCACCGCCATGTACTCTTCTTTTGCTGAGGTGGTCAAAGCACAGTCCAAAGCTCAATGAAGTCCTGTGTCTATTTCCCTTTACTGTGAAAAGGGGTGCCAGCAGAGGAGAAGCTTTTTAAGATTTATGTTAGCATCTTACGTTTTTGTTGATGTCTTTGTTTTGATGCAGTAGTCGGGCTTTTAGTATGTTGAAAAGTTTCCCAGTAGTTTGAAAAGCTTAAGCACCCACCTCATTGAATTTTCCTCCTTTCTACAGTGGGAGCAAAGCTGAGGAGTATGTTGGGCACTTGATAAGTTAATGCCAAATTATGCTGCTTTTGAGGCATGGTGTTTTATTTTTTTCTAGGGCCTGAGCAGTTATCCAATCCCTCATTTATTCTCTTGGTCAGAGTTTGGCCTGGTATTTTTGTTGCCATGAAACAATTTATTTGAAGTCACAAGGGCAACATTGCTAGAAACCCAGCTGAATTCACTAAACACTCATGGAAATGAGTTGCCTTGGTGTTTTGGTTATTTTTCATTAATGGTTATGTATTGCCTGGGAGGAGAAGAAAAGAGGAAAAAAGGATATTCTCATCTTTATGTAGCTTGTATTGCCAGGTAGTCATAAAAGAAGTGTGATACTGAACACTAATGTAATAACTTTGATTCTAATGAAACTTTGTCAAACAAATTCATTGTCCTGCGTGTAGGTTTTTAGTCCTTGAAATTAAACTTTAGGAAGAGTTTTAACTGGCGCATAATTGTGGCAAATAGTACATTTCGGTAATGCGTAATAGTTGGCAATACCAGTATCTTATGGCATATCTTTAGATTTGTAATGCTGCTTTTTTTGCTTTGTCTTTCAGAGAATGCAGATGGCAAATATATTTCCCCATTTCATGACATTCCACTGTTTGCTGCTTCTAAAGAGGTTTGTATTTATGCATTGAAACATAATAATTTCAATAATAACACAATTTCAAAATTATAACAATTTCATTGGTATTCTTTAGGTAAAAATGCAGTTTTACAAAGTGGTAGGTTGGTTTTATTAGCAATTAACAGTCAAGTGTATAGCACCAGAAAGAGTCATTTTAATGCAGGCTAATTTCTTGTATTATAAGCATGAAAACTCTGCCAAATTTTCTCTACTGAGTTCAGAAACTTGCAGTGAAGCACAATTACTGTGTAGACAAGCCTAGGTGTCTCTTTAAGCCTCCAAGTGATTGAGGATGGGAGGAACCATCACTGCATCTTGTTCTTCTCTATATTTAAGGTTTGTTAAATGTATTTTCTGTTTTCTTGAATTGCCCTTTTTCTACATCTGCAATTAAAAGCACATTTCCTTGCAGTAGGAGATACCCAGCACACACACTTAGGTAACTTAAGGTGTATTTCTTTAAGTTCCAAGAGGAAATTTATAATTGGAAGCCAACTATAATGCCCAAGAGAGAAGTGGTAATCGCACCTTCGGAGAATTACGAGGTGTGAGGTGCAGCTGAACACTTTCACATCTTGTTAGCCACACTCCCTGGAGTTTCATTGCAGCAATAATGAAACGGCTGTTTTATGTGCCACTGGTGGGAACTGCCAGTCTTTGGTTTAGCCTTAGGTTTGCTTATTATGGTATGCTTGTGAACAAACAGGTTGGGAGGGTTTCAGCTGTTTGATTTGTTGCTTGGTCTCTATGAATGATACGAATGGTGCGAATGGTCAGCAGTTTTAACATGTTTAACATAATTGCGACCCAATCTCCTAAATTACTTAGAATAAGTGATTAAAAATATGCATTAAACCTTTTTGATTGGCAGACCCTAGACATGTTAGTCAATGGAAGAGGTAAGTCTTTTTCAGAAAGTTGTTACTAAGATGCTCTCTATTCGGTGGCTGCTATTGCTGGAAAGTAAAGGGCATTTTCATCACACATTCCTTCAGGGCCTTGCTGTCCCTATGTCTAGAGTTTAAGGTTTGGAGGGGTGGTTTGTGGTCTGTGATTTTTCGGTAGATTAAATTATAGTATGGTGATGTCTAATCAGTGTGGAGGGACTTTCATTTTGGTCTGTGAGCAAGCAAAGAGCATTCTGTAGAACACAGAGGCCTGAGGAGGGAGCGAGGAAAGGTCTCTTAATTTTGCCTACTTTGCAAGAGGATGATTGAAGGAGTATGTTATTTTCTACCCTCCCCTGTTTAGGTTTTGTGGACTTTATTTTATGATGGATAACTCCAGCCCAGTTTTCCATACTGGTTTTATTGGTTGGTTTTTTATCTTTTTCAGCTGAGCAGAAGGATGACTGTGGTTTTAATTAGTTGTGGACAGGTTTAAATTGCTGCTTAATTTTTTTAGTTTCTGGGAGAACGTGGATGTGCCCTTGTACATTTTTTACCTTTCTCTGTTAATGAAATAGCACTGAATACTTACTTTAAAAAGTTACAGTTTAGGCCTTTATGTTCACAAAGGGATGTTTCAGTTGCATTGAAAACTACTATTGTCTGTATCTGTGTTTATGTGAGTACATTATATCAAGAACTTGTTGAAAGGAAGGAGTCAGAGAGTTGTAGTCAATGGGGCAGAATCTGGTTGGAGGTGTGTGACTAGTGGAGTCCCTCAGGGGTCGGTACTGGGACCGGTGTTGTTCAACATCTTCATCAACAACCTGGATGAGGGTATAGAATGTACCCTCAGCAAGTTTGCTGATGACACAAAGCTGGGAGGAGTGGCTGACACACCGGAGGGCTGTGCTGCCATTCAGAGGGACTTGGACAGGTTGGAGAGTTGGGCGGGGAGAAACATGATGAAATTCAACAAGGGGAAGTGCAGAGTTTTACATTTGGGGAAGAACAACACCATGTCCCAGTACAGGTTGGGGGCTGACCTGCTGGAGAGTAGTGTAGGTGAAAGAGACCTGGGGGTCCTGGTAGACAGGAGGATGACCATGAGCCAGCAATGTGCCCTTGTGGCCAAGAAGGCCAATGGCATCCTGGGGTGCATTAGAAAGGGTGTGGTTAGTAGGTCAAGAGAGGTTCTCCTCCCCCTCTATTCTGTATTGGTGAGGCCGCATCTGGAATATTGTGTCCAGTTCTGGGCCCCTCAGTTCAAGAAGGACAGGGAACTGCTTGAAAGAGTCCAGCGCAGAGCTACGAAGATGATTAAGGGAGTGGAACATCTCCCTTATGAGGAAAGGCTGAGGGAGCTGGGTCTCTTTAGCTTGGAGAAAAGGAGACTGAGGGGTGACCTCATCAATGTTTACACATATGTAAGGGGTGAGTGTCAGGGAGATGGAGTTAGGCTTTTCTCAGTGATGACCAGTGATAGGACAAGGGGTAGTGGGTGCAAATTGGAGCATAGGAGGTTCAAGGTGAATATCCAAAAAACATTTTTTACTGTGAGAGTGACAGAGCACTGGAACAGACTGCCCAGGGAGGTTGTGGAGTCTCCTTCACTGGAGACATTCAAAACCCACCTGGATGCGTTCCTGTGTGATGTACATGATGTGTGACCCTGCTCTGGCAGGGGGGATAGACTAGATAATCTTTCGAGGTCCCTTCCAACCCCTAGGATTCTATGATTCTATGATTGCTCTCTAGTGTTCTTTATAAATTTCTTTACTTCACTTTTTCCCTGTAGGATAAAGAGATTCCTGCAAAGAGGTCAAAGACTACTGGAAGTGAGGTATTGCTAAGCATTTTTTTTCTTTTTTTACTGTTTCCTCTATTTCCAACGTGGCTATTGCCTCTATTTCCTTTCCAGCATAGCTTCAGTGTACTGTAAAGTGAACTTGCTGTCATTGAATATAGTTGATTTATCTTCAAATGCAAGTATTTTAGGAAGAGAAAGCTTAAAGGGATTTAATATTCTCCCCTTTGAGTGGGACAGAAATGTCAGCATTCTTTTATTCATCAGGATGTTCTCAAAAGCAAATACTTCTATACCAGTCTTTGAAAGGTTTGTTATAACTATTGCAGCACAGATATGTTATCTTTTTTGCTATTGCATTCAGAAACATTTGCAAAAACCCCTCTGTTAATGAAATATTACTTATTCTCTGTGAATAATCTTTCGTGTATCTGTATGTATATGCAGAACTTCCGAAATACTAAGTATTTTAGGACAGAAATTAGACTTTATTATCTACTTTTTAGACTTGGAGATACGTTGTTCTCTGTATGCATCTGGGAAGCCCAAGGAGAGGAAAAAAAACGTATTTGTTAGTGGTTCAGCATGAACCAGCATTGAAGGTGAAGGCGAACAGAAGCCTGGAAAGCCTTGGAAGGTCTGCTTTTTCTGTGAACAAGATTTGGTTTATGTGTCTTTAAAAGAATGTTGCATTTTTTGCAGTGCTTTCCCTGGCACAGGAATACTTAAAACGTAGTTTAAGAAAGTGAAACTAAAAAATGAAACAGAATATACTTTAACACTTTTAAGTATCTGTGTGTGTCACAGTCTTTTATCTTCTTAATATCTGTTTGGCAAGTCATATTGCAAAACTGTGACTACCAATCCAATGTGAAAGAACTGTCCTAACTGTCTGGGTTTCCATAGTTTCGTAGCTGGTGTGTGGTGCACCAATGGTGGTTCTGTGCACCAGCCCCCACACAATCCTGTATTATGTATTTCCTCTCTCTGCCCTGTGATTAATGTATGTTACATTCATTGAATGGTTTGGGTTGGAAGGAACCTTAAATATCATCTAGTTCCAACTGCCCTGCATGAGCAGGGACACCTCTCTCTAGATCAGGTTGCTCAAAGCCCCATCCAACCTGGCCGTGAACGCTTCCAGGGAGGGTGCTTCCACAGTTTACCTGGGCAACCTGTTCCATTGTCTCACCACCCTCCCACTAAAGAATTTCTTCTAATACATAGTCTTCATCTGCCCTCTTTCAGTTTAAAACTTACCCCTTGTCTTATTGCTTCAGTCTCCTGAAAGAGTCCTGAAAGAGTCCCTCCCCAGCTTTCCTGTAGGCCCTCTTTGAGAACTGGAATGCTACTGCATGGCCTCCCTGGGATCTTATCTTCTCCAGGCTGAACAACCCCAAATCTCTCAGCCTGTCTTCAGAGGAGAGATGTTCTAGCCCTCTGATCATCTTTGTGACCCTCCACTGGGCCCCTGCTTCATATCCCTATTTTGGGGGACCCAGAGCTGAATAATGCCTACGTAAAATTTTTTACAATTCGTATTGTGTGATGCCCTTTAAAGTACTTTTTTATAGGGGTAGGATCATGCCTGAAAAATGAATTGTTGAGGAGAAAGAGTATGTGGCAGTAGCATTTCTCAAAGATTATTGTCTTGTGACATGAATTCTTAATTACTGCTTTTGCTGGAAGTCAAGTATTCTGTTTTTTACTTGCTTATGAATGCTGTGACAGTACCCACCTGTTGCAAGGAGGCAAAGCCTGTTTAATGCAGTGTCTAAAACTGCAAAACTGCCATTGTCTGTGTAGTGTGAAGCATGACAACTTGTTGAAAACCACATTTCTAGTACACTTTTTCTGATCTCTGGTTCAGCTTGTGGAGCAGAAGGAAAAAGTATGAGGCTGAGCAGTTCTTGCTTCCTGGGCTAGTATAGATTCCAGAGTTGCTTCACACAACTCCTCTTGTGAGAGTACTATGGAAAATGAGTGAAGGCAAATGTACATTCTGGTCTTTGTGGGCTTCTGATACAAGTAAGCAAATGTGCAGGCTAGCGGCTTCCTTGATACACTTGGTCTTAGATGGTGACGTGTGACAATACAAATAATTTACACAAACCTTTTTCGTCATCATCTTTGGGAGCTGGAGAGAAGAGTGAAAATATCTCTGCGTTCAGGAAAGCAGTTTCTTCTTACACTGGGCTCTTCAGCAGCCATCCTTACCTTGGCCAAGTGAGAAAT